CCCGAGTTATGCCCTGGGTGAAATTTGTGGCCTCGTCCAAACCGGCGATCTGGACCATATCCACAGCCACGGCCACGTCCACGTCCACGACCACGGGTATATCCACGCATATGTGTTTGGCTGTTTTCAGTTCCGGTTCCTTGTCTAGATATTACAACATTTATTTCAGGGACCACAGTAGACCCCGTGGGTCTAGATTCAAGATTTTTCATTAACAACTCATTATTTTATTCAGCCAGCAGCAAACAAGAAATTAACTCAGAATATTTCACAAAACCTTTTGCTTTGTATTGTTGATGCAAAAGTACATTTGAAGCGTGGAACGTGGACAACATTTTTTCCAGCATATCGTAATCAATTATGTTTTCTCCACATAATTTCAATACCGAGCAAGTGCGGAACATCGCTGAATTGTACTCGTTTACAGTTTTGAAATCTTGGAAGCGTAAGTGCATCCATTCATAACGAGCCCGGGGGAGAATCACCGTTTTCTGGTGATCATACCTTTCTTTCAAGGCTTTCCAGAGATATGCAGGATCTTTTACAGTTAAATATTCATTTTTCAATGTCTCATTCAAATGATGTCGCAGAAATATCATTGCTTTAGTTTTATCCTGTATTGATGAATCATTTGGAGAGATTATTGTTTTTTCCAATCCCCTTGCCGCCAAATGATTTCGGCATCCAATGTCCATGAGATATAATTTCTTCCAGATATATTGAAAGCTTCAAGTTCGAGTTTGACTAGATTTGCCATGATAACTATAAAATAAAACATCAGTGCTTAGATTCGAAAAATTACATATACAATCATTAATTCTTCAAGACGTACAAAAGAGCAAATAATAAACACATTATACAAATGCCTAGTACATAAAATATAAATTCAACATAATGATACAACATCGTGAATACTATTAAAGCGTACATAATAAACAATATAATGGTAATTATAACTAATGGATCAAACATTTTTTTTTTCTTAAAAATATATTTTGAGTGTTTGGATTATGAAAATGAATTGTAGTGTTATATATAGATATCAGTAAATAGCCATTGCAATATAGCCGTTAAGTAGCCGTTGGAAATAAATTAATGATATAATATTTGCTAAATAATCATTTATGATTATAAAATTCCAATTAATCATGTATATTACCTTAAAAATTCACTGAGTCATTATGTGAACAAATTAATAAATATAAATAACAAATCAAATAAAAATGTCACTCCACACTACTTGATAATTCTTTTTGTGGGTACAAGAATAAGCAGTTATAAATTTCACACCACATTACTGGGTAAACCATTTTGTGGGTGTTAAGTATAAGTAATAATATTATTTATTATAACTTGAATAATAATTCATAAACAAATTTAATAATATCATATCACCACATATTATTGACTATGGCATAGCCTAATTTGCCAATAATAATGGTAATGTGTAAATAATATCATATTTAGTATACACATATCATTGACTGTGGCAGAACCTAACTTGTCAAGAATAAAGGTAATATATTCATATTTAGTATATTCATACCACATATCCTTGACTGCGGCAGAGCCTAATTTTTCAAGAATAATGGTAATATATTCATATTTATTATATTCATACCACATATCCTTGACTGTGACAGAGTCTAACTTGTCAAGAATAATGGTAACTAGTTATCATCCTGTGCACATGC